AGTGGGAGAACTGCTTCAAACTTCTGGCCAAGAGTGACCCAAGAATCTGAAAACCTACAGCTCCAGTAAATCTGGTAAGACTGTTCCAGGTAAAAGTGGATCTTTTGATCAGGGACTTTGGGAGGGGGGAAGAGCCTACAAAATAATCAAAAAGTACTAATAAAATGCTTTAAGTGCAGAAACTTTAGGCTGGAAGAAAGGAAATTTAATCTAAGGAAAATAAAACAATTTTTACAGTAAGAACTATAAGGATATGTTTTTTTTATCAGAGTCCATACAGATGTTTAAACACCAATTGGATAAATACTTCCTAAAACATAGATAGATTCAGGGAGTATGGTTACCCTTCTAGACCAATCCTTATTACAGGATACTCAAATTGCTAACTCCCAAAAAGTTGATATTGCTTGTGTGCATGGGGATATACATAACTGTTGATATACTTGTTAAGACCCAGTGTGGTTCTGTAAACTGCAGAGTGGGACTGGTACCAAAACTGGCACGTGAGATGATCATTGGAAGGAATTTTCCTCATTTTCTAGACCTATGGGCCTGTGTTGAAAACACATCAGGTGAACAGAATGATGAATTTCCTTTTGCAGACAAGAGAAATACAAAATGCAAAACACAGAAAGAACAGTGGGTGGCGCACTCTACATGCAAGTGCAGAAAAACAAGTGAAGAAACTAATACCTAATTAGGTTTGTTCTCCACAAATTGCTGTAAGGAATAAATAAACTTGACATAGAGTAGTATAGTCAAGGAACAACCAATGTAATGTGTGTATATATAGGAAGATATATTCACATCCCACTCAGATTTATTAGAGCCTGTAATAACTGGCTCGAATAAAAGCATTTTTGAAGTGGTGATAGTTATCCAATATTCAATCTGGCAGATGACCTCTCTATAAGCATATATAAATGGAAAGGCACCAGATTAGATAAAAGTATAAATTTATTACACAAAAAAATAGTAAAATCTTATATGTAAATATACAATCTTCAGCTTCAGAGTACTTATATAACACAACGCATTTCAACCTCTCAGTGGGTCTTCATCTGGTGTAATGACGTCTGACCACTGTATTGGGAAATATATACCCCTCTAAATTGCCCTGGGACTGTGTGCACCTGAGATAGGAACCCTCCCCTCTTTCCCATATATGGTCCCAGCCAGATGTGCTTTCCACCACCTCTAACATGGCAGACCATCCGGCTAGGACCATAGAGCATCAGTTCCCACAGTATAAACACATATAAACATATACATAACAGCCGGACATTAAGTCTATCTTAATACACTTTCACCAACGTCCAAAATGGCGTAGCAGGAACTTCCTGTGATGTACTGTGATGTGCTTGACGTCTTCATTATATTTCTATTACATTCTTCAGCTGAAAGTCCAAACAGGAAGTATTTTAAGTAAGTAAGTCCGCGCCTTGTGGGTTTCCTTGGCAATATTTATACGGTTGTATTAATACAAGCAAGAAAAAGGAATTTAAAAACTGTTAGATCTGATCCTATTATTACGAAACATATATCTACTAGATACAGAACGTATGCATCAATTTTTAAAGTGCAGCAATACATATCTTCTACACCTTATAAAAACACAATAAAATTATAACAAGCATGTATATCATCATACAATAAAAGGGAATAAAACTTAATTTAAAATATGGGCTGAATATATATTTGGGACACAAAAAGTGATATAGAAATTAAATATAACTACAGATTTCAATTGTAATCTTAACCAATTTGATACATTGATTGACCACAATAGATACATGAGAAAGTTATGCCTTAAGAAATATTTTTTAAATACTGATTTTCCACCACAAGAGCCTGAGAATGATGAAAACTTAAAACCTAATGTCAGGATCCTATCCTGACAAACTAGACTTTTTGTTCCATTTACGCTGTTCCTTTAAAACCAAGTTCTTGCACTGATTATGTTTGACCACTAGTGGTCTCCCTTGCCTCTAGTTCTGAATACTTGCCTTATAATCCTCACCTGCCGGGACTAATTGAGCAACCTACAAAAGGCTACACCCAACTCACCACAAGGCCTTTACATTGAATGAAGTTGATGCTCATCCTGAAACACTTCAGATCCTAGCTCCTGTAGACTTCCCTTCTTTGCTTAAATCCAGCTTACTTCCAAACCTGCACCATACCACCCTGAACTACCCCTCAATCTTTCTTACTTCCTGTGGCAAAACTAGCCACTAGAGACTATTAATGTAAAAGTATGTCTGTATTCTTGCTAAGCCATAGTGATCAGTGCAGGATTCTATTTATATTTCAGGCGAATGAGGGCATTCGTATGCTGGCGATAGGAAAACCCCAGCATTCATACTGTAGTTTCACGAACAATGAGTTTAAACACTGTTCGTGAAACGAATAACGTACCGAATGCACGACCACACACAGGGGGTCGTGTGGTGCCCATTAATCGATTGCAACATTGTTGCAATCGGTAATTAAGTGTGTTTCTAGGTGGCCGTCGTTCGACTACTGACTTCGCGGCAGTCGGCCATCTTGATTCTTTTGTTAGCCCAGCGGTGTTTTGCCATCGAGCGCCTGGAACTAAAAACGGCTACTCGACAGCGCGAACACTGCTGGACTTCCAGGCCGTCCGGGAACCCGGGCCGTTCGGTAGTTTGTTCCCCTTATCCTAATCGGTATTTTAGAAATAATGTGTATTTCGTGCGGCGTTCAGTTAGTTAGACTGAGAGCGGAGCGGTATTCTCACGAACTATGCGCTCATCCTCCAGCTATCTACCGAACGTCCATTCGTGTAAATCAAGTGAATATTAGTAAAGTTATACATGTTAATGTAAAATGTAAGTTCTGCTGCATGGAGGGATAATCCCATTAACGGTATATTCCAGTGGGAGTATCCCTCTCGTCCAGCAGTGCATGTTGGAGAAAATGTATGTGTTGGTCAGTTCCCCATGTAGTCCCCTACTGTACCACCCCTGAAATGTCAGTAGGGAAACCCCTTGCATGGGGAATCCCATAAATACCGTGACCTGAAAATAAAACCTCAGTTGACCTCCAAGCTATGTGTCGTCTAGTTCTTGGGAGGAAGGGATTGTAACTACGTTACCTGGATTTTACCTGCTTTGTGTCTGCTTGATTCTGTCTACCAGCGGAGATATCGTGGATAATACTACTACTCCGCTACACTTCCAAACCTGCACAATACCAGCCTGAACTACGCCTCAATTTTGCTTACTTCCAACCCTGCTCAATACCAGCCTGAGCTACTCCTCAATCTTGCTTACTTCAAACCCTGCTCAATATCAGCCTGAACTATGCTTGATCCTACCCACCTGATTTCAGCCTGATCCATACAACTTGTCTGCTCCATACCTACCTGCATAACACCAATCTGGACTCTGTCTCAAAGTAATATTATATGGTGTTATTTTCCTGCTTGATCAATACTCCTTTTAAATGGGGGCAGATTAACTAAATTTCCAGTTTTCCTGTAATCCTGCATCCTATTTGTTCTGTTTTTTTTTTGTTTTTTTTGTCGTTCTGTTTTAACCTATACTTTTATCTATAGGTTTTCTTATTATTTACTTTCATTCCTGTTTTATAATTTATTTAGGGCGTATTGCCTAAGTCTCTTTCTCTCTTTCTTGGCAGACACCCCAGGGGATTACTTGACATAGCAAAGGAAACTTGAGAACAAGAAGCTACCCCACATTGCAGAGTAATAGAACACATAACTCAGATTCAGCAATCATGCCAATAGTCAGGAAACATCTGCAAAAGGCTCAACAAAATCTGCAGAATAGCTATAATAAGAATGCTAGAATTAGGATATTTCAACCAGGAGACAGAGTGTTAGTAATGATTCCAAAAGTAGAGAACAAATTCCTGGCAACTTGGCATGGGCCATGTGAGATTATTGAAAGAGTGAGAAAGGTAAATTACAAAGTAAGGCAACCAGGCAGATGAGAGGAAGTGCAATTATACCATGTCAATCTGGTAAAACCATGGAAAGAAATGGAAGTTACTACAGAGACTTCAGCCTTCCCTGAAAACTGTAATATTGACCCAGAAGTAAATATCTTAGAGAGCCTGTCCATACACCAGACAAGGGAAGTTAATAAATGTATTAGTGTGATTAAACATTATATTTTGACAGAACCAGGAAAAGGCTCAGTTTTAAACCATATGGAAAACCTGAGGCTCTCAGAGAGCAGAGGTAAAGAAAATGTTAGATCTTGGAGTAATTGAGTCACTGTCAGGGCTCCGCGAGTGGTGGCCCGTGGCGGCCACGCAACGCTCACAGCAGCGTCTCTCTTACCTTCACTGGGAACGGTCGCTTCCGACGCTCGTGGCTCAGTTCTTAAGGGGTTAATAAGATGTAAAGAACAAAACTAAACTAAATCCCTACTACAAACCTCCAATTATTTAAATGTGCATAGAGATTACAGTTGTTTGTTACCTTTTTTTTGTTTTGTTTTATTTATTTAGGCTAATAAATCCACTAAGTGGGAGTTTGAGCACAGGGCTTCACTTTGTGTGTTAACAAGCATTACATATATAAAGTAAAAAAAAAAAAATAACTCTCACCGCAGGCTTTCTCTTATCCAGACCGAGCACAACATGTTTTGACAGGATATACCATTCTTCACAAGTTGTTGTAGCTTTTATTGATGTGAAGCTTTATATCATTTTTCTTTTCTTTTTTTTGCCATCTAAATTTTTTTTATTTTTTTTTTTAAGCAGAGTTGTAAACACTCTCCAACTATATTTTTCCAATGTGGCCAAATATTTGTAGTTTGATTTTTTTTTTTTTGTTCACCACAAATCACTGCTTTGTAAATAAACCTACTTATCTCTGTACTTGCGTTGCTATTGAACAGGCAGTTAAATAGTTAACATACTAGTTAATCATTGCATATTTATCTCTGGATTACACAGAAGAGGGGTGTGGTTAAGGAAAAAAAAAAAACACTTGTACTGTGTATAACATTTGTTTCCTGTCATTGTGCAGCAGTTTAGAAAGGTTGCTGACAGTCTTTCTTTAAAACTTCACTGACAGAACACGATACAGGTATTAATGCTTTTTTGGAAGTGACTTTTTTTAACAATAATGTTTTAAATTGTTTATGAAATATTGTGAACATTGTTAATTTAGCTTTTATTTCCTATTAAGGACTATTTTGAAGTTAACGTCAAAAGATTAATTTAAAAAAAACTCTTAATATTATAATGACCGTCTTTAGAAACATAGAAACATCTATGTTTCTCTTAATATTATAATAAAGTGTGTTGCAGTCTTCCAGAATTCATAATCTAATTGGTGGGTGACTTGTGACTGGCTTTATCTACAAAATGTTTAAATGTAGTGAAATGAAAACAAAGGGATTAATTTACAAACATTAGGGTAAAAATTTGGGCAAATAACAAAACTGGAGAAATTCAGTTATTCTGGCTGAAAATTTGATGGTATCAGTACACCTACATATAGAGATATGAAAACAGGGCATGCAAGGATTGGACTAAAAGGGTAGGTCAGTAGTGTAAACTGGGTGGAAGGCACAACCCAAAATGGTAGACCCTCTATTTTGTCCCAAACGTAAGATGCTCATAAAAAGGTCATGGTATCGTAAATCAGTTTGTTAAAATAAGAGATTTGACAACTGAAATTAGATTTTCTGTAATGTGTCCCTATAGTTTACCAAAAACCTGATCTACATGGGAAGGAGGTATTGCAGTAGCAGAATACAAATCTGAGTTCTTGACAGTAGAAATTAAATTAAATCGTGATCAAGATCATGAAATTAAAATGAAAAAAAAAATGTACTGTGCAGTTTGTTTTTATTTAACCGTGTCATTACCAACTTAGATATTTTGTCAGTGTTGGTAATAAAATGGTTAACAGAAAACTGGCACAAATTTCACAAAAAAAAAAGTAAGCACCGAAATGCGCATTGAGTTAGAGTCCACACTTGTGCATTTTACTTTCTAGGACCTCTTTTGATGGCTTGACAATCTTATACTTGGGAATACTTGTTTGTAGGTAGATCTCTCTAGACTGGAGTTTTGCAACTAATTTTTTGGGAATTGCTACGTTCAATTTGCCCCATATATCGGATATAGCCATTACTAGAGACTCTATCCACCCTCCTACTTACAAGTGCTCTTTTGAGTAACAAGACTAAGAGATTTCTACATTTCATTTACTTACTATACCACAGATTAAATTGATATCTCTTATTACACTGCCCTTCATGGATAACCATTCCAATTCACCCTCCTAATTAGACACAGCTCAGTACCCTTGATTATTGCAATTCTTTGCAACACTGTATTGGGTCTATTAGCTAGTGCGTCCCGATTTTAAGTGGGTGTGCAATCTTGGAATTACCATTGAAGTTCCTATTTTAAACAAGTATATTTACTTTACCTTTTCGCTTTTCAAGCACGTTTATTTTTACACTTTCACTACATTTATTATCTTTTTGTGTGTGATTTCTGTACCCATATACGGATTCAATAAAGTTTGTGTTTTTAATCAAGGCACCTAGCCTAATACCTGTTTAGTTAATTCAAACAAGGGTAATAGGATTAAAATTGGTCTTGTTTTTTGCAAGCCTAGTCTAATCTTTCTCTGCATCTTCATTTTGGGTTATGCCCTAATTACCCTACAACCAATACAAACTTGGCGTCAGATTTCCTCTCGCTAAGTCTGTCTATCTTCAAATGAATACTAGGCTACCAATGTAAATATAAATTCATAGAGATATCCAATCTTAATAACAAATCGTAAAAAAAAATAATATAAAGAACAACCAATGCATACCAGAACAAGTGAGAGGAGGGAAGAAAAGTCAAGTCTTCCCTCCTCTCACTTGTTCTGGTGGGCTTATTCCAGGGGCCTATTCCAGGGCATCACCGTTTTCTGGGTGGTCTTCTTAGGTGGTCTCTCCACCTGCTGTAGATGGCTAAATTACGTGTTATTTATCTTTTTTTTTTTCTTTGGATACTGTGTTATTTTACACACCAGATACTATTTTGTACATATGATATTGGAACTACCTCAGAATACATGAGGACTGCTGTTAGTGTGATGCCATGTGTATTTATTTCTATTATTTTTTTCAATAACTGTGCTGCTTTTCATTACCTTTTTTTCATTGCGGTGTGTTTGGATTTACCCATGTGTGTGGACCGCTGTGTTTTGTTTTTTTTTTAGTTATATTTTTGAATATTTGGGAAGAGTCCAGCACAGAGGAATTAATTCTTAATCCTATTAGTCCTGATTCAGCCTCTCAAATTTATTATTTTTTGAGTGAGAGATCCCACCTCCCCAGGTTTGTGTTTTTTGCAGCTCTGTCAACCCTTATGTTATTCTGGCCTGCCTTAGGCAGCCACCTAACCTAATTACAGAGCCACCTCCGACCATCAAAGGGGCATTAAAAGGTTAAGATGAGTTCTGTGTTTATTGCCAATTTTTGAACTTTAACAGTTTGGACTTTGCATACTTTCATTGTGTTTGTTATACTATTTGCACCTTTTTACAAGCATTTTTGTATTGGTTACAAACAGTATTTGAGATGTACGATATTACACTAACCTGTTCTCTATATTTTACACTTTGAGGAATCTATTTAGCAAACTATTAACTAAAAAATCCTGCCAAGCATGTATTTAATTTTTTTGCCACTACAAGAATGCATTTGTTGCCTACAACATTGTTTTTAATATATATATATATATATATATATATATTTTGTTTTGCAATGCTCCATGTTATATATCTTGGTATTTGTCTTTGTACATATGCCTTATGTGCAGTTTTATATTACTGCTCCTACTCTTCTAACAAATGGAATGCTGTTCTGAGTCCTCACTCAACGGAACCAGGATTGAACCTACATTTTGTGTTAAATCTGTTGTATTGTTGTATGCCATATGAACACATTTTTCCTATGCAGAGGAAGTAATCATAACAAATCAACAAAGCATATAATGTCATAATAGGTGCACAGTCAGGTAACATTAAGCTGCTATATACACATCATGAGACCATATGAGAAAATCAAAGAACCTACATTTTGCAGTATTACAGCTCATTGATAAGCATTGGGAAGCCTCAATCATGTGTGACTGCATGAGTGACTCCAGCACAGAGGCTTCTCAAAGACAAGCCTCTGAATGGAGTATTCCCCAACACATATTGAATATCTGTACCTGGTGAAAGATGGGATGGCTTGCAAAGACTACAGACAAAACGTCTGTGTGGGTGTACATCTACAAAATAGTGAAAGAAATAAACTGTTTTCCTTTAATAAAGCAACGTATTGTAAAATATGTCATTGTTCAACTCTTCTTATTTTATATGTCTACAGTTTGCTACCCTCCCCATTCTCTCTTCATCTTACCTCCCTATACTCTACCAAATATCCCTCCTTTTTCAACCTAATTCAGTCTCCACCTGTCCAAATCCCGATCAGTCTCTCTCTCTCTCCACCTGTCTAAACCACATATGTGACTCAATCCATCTGTCCAAACCCTCATCTATCTCTATCTCCACCTGTCGAAACATTAATCTGTGTCTCTCTCATCCTGTTAACACTATGTGTGTGTCCATGTAGCCTGCCCTCCCATATGTGTGTCTCCTTGTAGTCTGTCCCCCTATTTGTGTCTCCTTCCAGCATGTCCTCCATCTGTGTGTCTCTTTGCAGCCTGTCCACCATCTGTGTGTCTCTTTGAAGCCTGTCCTCCTATCTGTGTCTCCTTGCAGCCTCTATCGTATCAGTGTGTCTCATTGCAGCTTGCCCATCATCTGTGTGTCTCCTTGAAGCCTGGCCCCCCATTTGTTTGTGTCTCATTCCAGCTTGTTCCCATTTGTGTGTCTCTCCTTACAGCCTGTCCCCCATCTATGTGTCTACTTGCAGCCTGTCCCCCCAACTATGCAGCTTGTCCCGCCATCTGTGTCTTCTTGTAGCCTGTCCTCCCACTTGTGTTCACCCATCCCTCACTTACCTGTCTGCAGGCTGGACTCTGTGCTGCTCCCCTTGCAGATTCAGTCAGGAGAGAGAGTTAGGGATAAGATGTAACTTCCTATCCCTGTCTCTCCTGACAAACAGTGCTGGCCGGCCAGCAGTGCAGTCTATTTTCAATCACAGAGAAAAATACTGGCATTTGATTTGTATTGCTGGTACTTTTGCAACACTGGCACCGGCCAGGTAGCCTCAAATACTGGTTGTGCCAGTAAAATACTGGTCAGGTTGCAACCCTGCATACTACAGATGTTAACTAAAACAGTACGTACGATATATGTATATCAAGCAGTACCAAATGTTGCTCTTGGACATAACCTTTTCATTTTTTATACATCCACAGTTTACTGCCCTCCCCATTCTCTGTTCATCTCACCTCGCTATATTCAACCATATCTCTCCTCCTTTATCAAACAAAATTAGTCTCTCTCCTCCTCTGGCAACCCCAACCTGTCTCTGTCCTCATGTCCAAACCTCCATCTTTCTCTTTCTACACATATCTAAAATACCATATCTGTCTTACTCCACCTGTCCAAACCTCAATCTGTCTCTCTCTCTCCATCTGTCTAAACCTCCATATGTGTCTCACTCTACCTGTCCAAACCTCCATATGTGTCTCACTCCACCTGTCCAAACACGCATCTGTGTCTCTCTCTAGCTGTCCAAATCCCATCTTTGTCTCTCTCTACCTGTCCAAATCCCATCTTTGTCTCTCTCTACCTGTCCAAATCCTATCTTTGTCTCTCTCATCCTCTCAACACTATGTGCATGTTTCTCCATCTGTGTGTCTCCTTGTAGTCTGACCCCATCTGTGTGTCTCCTTGCAGACCCATTTGTGTTTCCTTGCAGCCTGTACCCATATGTGTCTTCTTGTAGCCTGCGCCCCTATCTGTGTCTCCTTCCAGCCTGTCCCCCTATCTGTGTTTGTCTCCCCCAACTGTGTGTGTCTACTTGCAGCCTGTCCCCATCTGTGAATCTCCATGCAGCCTCACCATCTGTGTCTCCTTTAATTGCAGCCTGTCTCCCCCAACTGTGTGTGTCTACTTGCAGCCTGTCCCCCCATCTGTGTTTCCTTGCAGCCTCTACCCTATCTGTGTGTCTTCTTGCAGCTTGCCCCCTATCTGTGTGCCTCCTTGCAGCCTGCCCCCATCTGTGTATATGTTTGCAGTGTCCCCCCATCTGTGTGTCTCCTTGCAGTCTGTCCCACCTGTTTGTCTCTTCTTACAGCCTGTCCCCTATCTATGTGTTTCCTTGAATCCTGTCCACATCAATGATTCTCCTTGCAGCCCGTCCCCCCCATCTATGTGTCTCCTTGCAGCCTTCACCTCATCTGTGTGTCTTCTTGCAGACTGTCCTCCCACTTGTGTTCCCCTATCCCTCACTTACCTGGTCTGTAGATAAGCTGTACTCTGTGGTGCTCTCCCTATGGTTTCATTTAGGAGAGAAAGTTAGAGATAAGATGTAACTTCCTATCCCTGCCTCTCTCAACACACAGTGCTGGCTGGCCAACATTGAAGACTATTTTCAATCACAGAGAAAAATGCCGGCATTTACATTGCCGATATTTTTGCAATACCGGCACCGGCCAGGTGACCTCAAATACTGGCTGTGCCATTAAAATACCATCCATGTGGCAACCCTGCGTATTACAGGTGTTAACCGAAACAGTACGTACTATATATGTACATCAAGCAATACTAAAATTTTGCTCTTGGACTAAGGAATACATTTTTTTTTGTTTAAAGTCCTGTGAATGTTGACTGTCATTTGTGATTTTGTGTAAAGCATTACTCAGTGATTGAGTACCCAGGCATAAAACGTGGTGCCACCATTTGAACTTTGCATTTTTATATATGTCTGTGTCATCCCAAGTCTTACTAACTCTTGCAAGTTGTTACGTTAGACTTGTACAAGGCAAGAAAATAGGGTTTGGTTAAACTACTTTTAAGAAAATAAAAATTCAGAATGGTCGAAATGATTTTGTTCTGCAAAATTTCTGTACCAAAAATCTGATTTTTGGAAACTAATCAGATGAATTATAAGGGAATGAAATTGGGCCAGTCAGTGTACTGCTAAATATATACACAATGTAAATATATATATATATATATTTCAGTACACCGTTAGGAGAATTTTCACACTATGTGATTCAGTGATCAAGTGAGAAAAAGTAACCAATAGAGGGATAAAGACAAAGAGCAATAAAAAAATGTTTAGTGACTTGCCACTAACTATTAATTATTCATGAAAAGTGCTCATTGTGTGTACATAAATGTACATAATAACAATGTTATTAAGTTCTTTTCCTGAAATGTGTTTTTTTAATTCTTTATTTTTGTTGTGAATGTGGTATTACAAGACAACAGTACATTTAAAAAGACATATGATATGAGAGAATTAAGCTTTAAATCTACCTTTTTTTTTTAGTAAAGAGAAACAAGCGATAGCATAAAAAAAAAAGAAAAAAAAAAATGTGTTGTCATCTGAATTATAAGATAGTGACTACAAATATAGGCAATTTAAATCAAATTAAAATGTGGTATGCTGATTAACAGCAGCTTGGGATGGAACCTGTGATCAAAGAAATCAAAATGATGCATTTTATACAAAGACTCAGTAGCTAAGGAGGTATCATGCAGCCAGACACTCTTAGTGATGGTCATCCTATCCCAATTGCAGGGAGATCAGAGTCACATGTTGCCTGGGCACCCTGATTCACTCATATTCATGCCTTTTTGGCTTGTTCTTTTGATTTAATTTCTGGAACGACATTTGTCCGAGTTTACCAGATATTTCACCAAATGCAAGGTGCCCTGAAAAATGTTCTATCTTCAAAAAAAATTATCTAACAGAACCAACATTTCTTGTTGTGCACAAGTCTAATATTTGCATGCATCGTTTATTATTTTACCAAGTCAGAAGCAAAATATTCTCATTATGTTTCAAATTTGTATTCATATTTTACTCTTATTTTCAGATATTTCATTCATCATTCCATTAAGAAGTTCGAAAGCCATAGTAAGATGCCATGAGATTGCAAAATTCCTGTAAAATAATACTTCATTCAGTGTGTTCAGATGAGTTATTTTAAACTAAATAACTCAGCAAGGAAATGCAAAATGGGCTTATTGGTGACACCAAAGTGAGGATCTTGCATGAGGAATCTGTGGAAAAAACTGTGCTTCAACAGTGATAATTTGGGCTACTAGATAAGAAAGATGCATGGAAAACCTTCAAGTGCCAAAGTATGAGTTCATTTGGTTAATCGCTGTAAAGAAAGGCAGATAAAGCATAATCAAAACTTGGAGTATTTCACAACTGCACAAGACTCAGAGGTTACGAGCTGGAGGACAATCCATGCGTTATAGCTCAGACATGAGACTGAAAAAAATATTATACAGCAATATGCAAACAACAACAATGTTCAAAGGTGGCCACAAAGGGCATCTGAAATAATTGTTCATGTAGTTCATGTTGTAATGTGCCTTACTTAAGATGTTAGAGTATTCTATCAGGACAAAAGTATTTTGGGGCAAATAATTTAGAAAGTTTCTGTGTAATTAAAAATTAGGCAGCATGACCTTAATGACTCTCTATAGGTTATTTTTAACAAAGCATACTTTTAAATATAACCTTTTTATACCTCAACAACTTTATTTCTGAAATATCATCATGATGTTTTCTTTTCAGAGAAGAAAACAATACAAATGAGAAACACGTGTAACTTAGTTCATGTATGTTTGGGTTTATTATTTCTAAAATTCAGAAACCTTCATGATGCCATCTTCTAAACAACCATCATTGTGTTCCAGCAGAACATTTATTGTTTTGGTATCTGTGCTAGTTTCACTAATTTGTTTAAGTGTGTATATATATTGCATAACGGTGGCTAAACATTACCCTTTCAACCAAATGCAAATAGATTCATCAATGGAAATCATAGATACTAAAACAATGTTAAACATTTCTCTTTATCAATATATCATCAATGAACCAGATAAATGTAAAGATCAGGTTCCATTCTTTATATTCTTAATAACCACTGTAGCAAAGCAAGTGGAACAAAGACAAGTAATCAGGAACACATGGGCAAACAAGGCAAATGGAAATAGTACGGGGGTGACCATTATGCATTTGTTTATGTTGGGTTTTGACAAGGATACAGATTCAAAGTTTATTTTAAATGAAAGTCAGACATACCATGACATTATCCAAAAAGACTTTCAGGAGTCCTATAACAACTTGACTATCAAAACTGTAATGGGAATGGAATGGATTTCCAACTATTGCCCCCAATCAAAGTATGTCATGAAAACAGATAGTGATATGTTTGTGAACACTGAATATTTGCTGGAAATGCTCCAACAAAATCTGCCCCCGAAAACAAATTTCTTCACTGGTGCCGTTCTCAGAGGTTCTGTTCCTCGAAGAGCAAAAGAAAGCAAATGGTATGTACCATTTTCCATCTACACAGAAAACTACTATCCCAACTATTGTTCAGGAACTGGATACGTGTTTTCAGGAGATTTGGCTCCAAAAATTTTGAGATCATCTTATAAAATAAAATACCTGCATCTAGAAGATGTCTTTATTGGACTTTGTCTTAGAAAAGAGAGTATAGATATCACTTATCCACCTACAAGTGGTTTGTTTAATATTTATCGAGTTACATTTTCCCCTTGTAGCTATTACAAACTTGTTACATCCCACAGTATGCCTTCAAGTGAAATACTTAAAAACTGGCAAGATATGCAAGAGCATAAAGGGCAATGTTCAAGATATGCTTATAAATTCTAGCCCTCTACATTTTCAAATTTAGGTACAATCAAGGTTATTCATTACACTGAAAAATTCTTTATCTCCACCATAATCATATATAGTCTATTTTTTGCCTCTGTTTAGCCATTCAGATTTAATTATTGAAAATTAAGTCTAGTGAATAAACCAACTGAGTGATAGAGGAAGAGATACAGTTCTGACTGCAAAATCCCATGTGGATGGAGTCTGACAGCCAAGATGGCCAGATGTGTTTTCTTGTTGCTCTTGGAAATTTGGGCCTAAAACAAGCTTCACAAGTGGATTCCTGCAAATTAAGCGCTTATGCACTACTCACAGTGGATGCTGAATCCCATCACACCTATCCAATCATGATTTTGGGGCACTCTGCTACTTCTGTCTCACGTCCGAGCCTGAGGCCTACTACGACAGGTGTGCCAGCGACTGGGAAAATGGACGATTCCCTGGCCTTGGGCGCTAATCCCGAAACTGACCGGCAGCAGTCCCGTTACCTCCTCCCCTTTGGACCGGCGGGGGATATCCTGGTTCCCACTGGGTCACTCAGACTCCTTACCTAACTACTCAGGGCTTCCTGCATCCAGTGCTTGTGGCATGACCAAGATGGCCACTGCGACAGAGCCTCAACAGGGGCGATTGGATTTGGAGGGCCAGGATTGGAAGGCACAATTTGAAGCCAGATTTGATGCACTCTGAAGTCATTCTGAAACTGCATTACAAACAGATCATCTCACCTCACTCTGCCTGCTACCTTTTTGCACTGTGAGGCATGCTCAACCGCTGATGCTCTTTTTGGACTGGGAGCTATCATGGAGACATTTCCACACCAAAGTCCACACACCTGTGAGAAGGCCCAGACCTCGGAGATCCCGCGGGTCGATGATCCTGCCACCAGGAGTAGGGGGATCCATGGACACAAGGAAGGGGCTCCCATCACAACCCGGAGCCCAGACTGCAGGAGCTTGTAGCAATGCCGACTACTCCTAGGCAACAACATAGGTGAAAGCAACAGATTGCATAGATTGAGCCTGAAAGGTTCCCAGCATTGCACCAGGTGTAATACCTGAACTCTAGAGGCTTACAGTCATGTTTCATGTTACATTTTTTATCTCTACCTTCAACATTATCCAGGACCCAATAGTTTTATTATTTGTCCATATCAGCAATGGGCTGCAACCCTCATACCATGTTTGTATTTATTTTTGACCTGTTGCCCTATATTTTAATCTTGTCTTTCATAAGGACTGCCATGCTTTTTTCTTATGCCTACGCCCAGTGGTAATAAGTCTCTTAAGTTGCGCACATTCTGTTTACTCATCACAGGACTGGGTATAATGCAAATTACTGTTATTCATTGCTCTAAGCCTTACATTAAGCATAGTCTTGTCTTTTCATCTTGTAACATAGCCATCTCGTAATTTATCAGTACTAGCCTATTATCTTAATTCAAAAAAAGTGCAATTTCTCTATATGCCGTGATACAATTATTATCTGTTTTTACCATGTTTGGTATCGCTGTTGTGGCGTATCCAGCTTATTTGTTATCACTTGCACACTGAAAATAAAGAATTTTAAAAAAAATACACACATATATAAATAGAAAGACAAAAATAAATGCCCAGAAATTTCACAAAAAAATACTCCTTTTTAAGAATATTTCCAGTAAATGCAAATATTTTTTTTTAATGCAAATTGTGCCTGATTTTGATATACATTATGTTTTCAAAACTAATAATTTTATACTTGTTATATTTATATATTTTTTATTGACTGGAGGTTATATAGTTGATTATATAGTTGAAACATATTATAGTTCAACGTGGAGGTTTGCAAATCATTGTTGTATAAATTTCTTTGTTATGGGAGCTTCTTGTAGGAACATGTTTTCTTACATGCATATTGATACAATGTACTAAACATGGTAGTTCTCAGAGGATAAGTTCATATGTAATGTCTCATTTTAGGTGTGTTCACATTAACCTGTCCAATATGACTTGGAAATTAAATACCTTCCCAAGTCATTCTTAAAAGTTAATAAATTTTTTCAGGCAACATAAAAAGGATATCTAAAGCTGACAAGTCTAAGGCTGGGTGTGAAACAGAAGTGCTTTAAATTACTACATGCCTTTAGCAGTACTCTGCCATGGAGGTTAGATATCACATTTTCTGTGTACATACTGTTGTAATTAAAATATTCAACCCGTTTTGAAATATTGTCAAAATCTACAGACTTTCTGTTGTTTGCAATCAACAAATCAAACAAAAACAATTGAAATAGCTCAACACAATGAAAGCTTCAAGTGGTTTCCCCAAATTCAACTGTAAAAGCAACTTATAATGACTTATCCAGTCTCATAATTATTCAACCCCTTTTAGTACTTAGTAGAGCACCCTTTTGCTATTATGACCTGCTACAAATAAGATGCATAGCCAGACACCAGCTTCTGGTATCATTCCCGAGGAATCTTAGCTCATTGCTGATAAGCAATGACCTCCAGTTCAGTGATATTCTTGGGTTTGTGTGCTGCAACCACCTTCTTTAAATCCCACCAGCAGTTTTCTGTGGGGTTCAAGTCAGGCATCACCGAGCCACCACCATGCTTAACTGTATTCAGAGTGTTCTTTTCAGCACATGCTTAATTCTTCTTCCTCCAGACATATTGCTGATCCACTGGGCCAAAACGTTCTAGCTTTGTTTCATCACTCCACATAACAGAACCCTAAATCTTTTTGTAGCTTCTTTATATGATTTTGAGCATATTGGAACTGACTTTACTTGTGCTTTTGGGTCAGTAGTGGTGTACGTCTTGGAGTTCTGGCATGGAAACTTTCTGCACTTATTACGCACCTTACTGTGCTCACTGAGACCTCAGTGCCGGTTGCCACCAAGTTTCACTGCAGAGTTTATACAGTCACTCGAGTATTTTTCACAATCTACCTTCTCAGAAATCTGGTTGAAGACATTGATAGCTTCCTTTCTCTGCCCTGTGCAGGTAGTGTAACCACTGTTTATTCAACTTTGAACTTGCAAACCTTGCTTCCAACAGTGACAATGGTATCCTGTTTGTTGTTTGTGAAGGATAATGATCTCTTCTCTTTGTGGACCTTTCTTTTGACTTAACCATATTTCTAACATACAGTCAATCGTGACACTCAACAAACCCCAGCCAGTTCAGGTATTTCAACTTGATTAGTTGCATCATGTGTGCTTGAGACAACACATGTTTTGCATATTTGTACTGTTGTGAAGGTTTATATTCAGGGGTTAAATAATTTTGAGACTGGAGAAATCATTATAAATGACTTTTGTTTGATGTGTTGATTGCAAACAGCTAAAAGTTTGTAAATTTTGACAATAAATCTGATTTTGGTGGGGTTGAATAATTTTGATTACAACTGTAACACTGCCATGAAGTAGTTGGCCCCTAAACATGTACTTTATAATTGTGGTTGTAGTCCCTTAAAGTGTTTCATTTTGGGTCTCATTGATATCGGATGTTTTGTCTTTACTACAGAGCAATAGTAATATGTTTATGAAAGTGTGTATATTCATATGTTTAATATGACAGTTTAAGTACCACAAACACTCCAGCCAGCTATAGTAACTGTGACGATGACAGAATGGCGCCATTCTCTAGTTCTGTGTAACTGTTTTTGAACCTAAGGGTCACAGTCAGGGGAGTGTGATGACCGTAAGTAAATAGTTCCTTTCATTTGGAGGGGTGGCAGGACATTATCATACATGTTTATTTTGTATTCCTAATGCTATAGTGTTACTTCAAATTTAAATTCTCTTTGAATTCATAGCAATTCCTATTTTAATGAATAACCTGGACTGTGTCAAACAACTTGCACACAGAATGCAATCAATACTCACAATAAAAATGTCATGTAATAAAACCGCAACAGAAAATGAACCAACTATATACAGACAAGGATGGAGGTGATTATTACCAGTCCTTATGTGGCTTACCAAACAAGAATAATAAAATAATCATAAACAAGTCAAAGGCAAGGAAAGCCAAAACAGGGCCAAGCACATGGGATAGACTGAAGTATGTACAGCTGATAAAATCCTGCATCAATTCTGCATGCCCAGGACGTTTATGTCGCAGGTGTGATGGAATATATCTTTATTATTAAATTAAGGCCTACATCTGATGTTCTTTATATGTAATGAACTTTTTCTCTTTAAAATGCTGCATACGTGTCAGCATAAGTTGCGTTCTCTGTGTATTCTAGCCCCCACTGGAGCACTTATTTTGAGAAACTGTACATTGTGTGACTGTTTGCTAGATAATTTTGTCTCTGCGACCTTCCTATCTTATGAAATATGTAACCACATATTGTTTTGTAAACTAATTTAAATCTTATGAAATATGTAGCCACATTAACTAATTTTATCTTTTGACTTTCCTATCTTTAACTACATTATTTATTGTTAAACTTTATTTTCAAACTTTCAAGCTAAACTGCAACAATAATGTGTATAAATACACCCTACTTTGAATAAATGAGCAGAAAGTAATTCTGGACTCACAACCATCTGTGTCGTGTGTTAATTGATTCTCCAGGCTCCTGATATATTTTGGATTCCCCTGAATATAAGTATTGGATCTTTTGTCCATGTCACAGGATATTTGGCATCTTTAATATGACTCATGGCAGAACTCGTATGAAATTACATGGGTATGGAGCTTGACATGGCATCAATATGAGTGTAATGAGAACGCATGGCATCAAACGTGATGCAAGAAGGGTACGCAGTGTCAAAATGGCTGCACGAATGATGCTCATGAACAAAAATGCACCATTTTTAGATCATTTTCAGATATTACATTTATGGATTAAAGTTTGTGCTATATTTAAGGCAACTGTAACACCAACAAGCAAATTTGGTTATATTTACAGTTGAGCGGACACCTGGATGTTCGGGTCAATGGAGACCCGAACTTTTGGCCACAAAAATGCCTCTAAAAAAAGTCCTGGAAAGGGCTAAAGGGCTGAAAAAGGAAGTAAAATTGGTGTAAGAGTAGGACAAGTGCCCTGCAAACAAATGTGGATAGGAAAATCACTTAAAAAACATAAAAATTAAAAATACAGCTGAGCCATAAAATAGCACTAGATGGAATCTTTGATTTTAGCTTTGGAAGAACATAAATCAAAATCTAAAGCATGGCTGTCAGGAGGATCACCAGAATAATCCATTTGAGAGAGTGTTGGAGTGCAGGGTATTCTCTTTCATTGTTCAAACTGAGCTCAACTCCTGATGCATGGAGAAAGGGCATTCACAAGCCTCTGATATTGTGTACATAGTTTATACTAAGTGACCCATAGGTTGAGGAGGCGGTGACTGTGGAGGTGAAGTGGAAGCGACGGTGGAGGAGGTAGCCAACACTGTTTTTTTAAATTTATTTATTTTATTTTTTTTAAATTGGGGTAGCCCCCAAAATATTGGGACATATAAAAAAAGAAAGATTTGCGCCCTGCGGTGCATATCTTGCAGTCCTGATGCATGGAGAAATGCTCAACTCCTGATGCATGGAGAAAAGGCCTTCACAAGCCTCTGCTGTGTACATAGTTTATACTAAGTGACCAATAGGTTGAGGAGTTGGTGACAGTGGCGGTGTAGGTGGAGGCGGCGGTGGAGGAGGAGGAGGTAGCCAACACTGTTTTTTGTTTGTTTGTTTTGTTATTTTTTTTTTATTATTCTTTTTTTTTTTATTGGGGTAACCCCCCAAAATATTGGGAGATATAAAAAAAGAAAACAAAGACTAAGTGCACTTGAGTATAACAATGGCTGGGTGAGGCTGGTATAAATATCTATTCTGCACAAGCTACAGACAAGTCTGGTTGGATCCATGCCTGGTTCATTTTAATAAACATGAACTTGTCCACGTTGGCTGTGGACAGGCGGCTGCTCTTGTCTGTGATAACGCCCCCTGCTGTGCTAAACACACGTTCAGACAATACACTGGCTGCAGGGCAGGCCAGCACCTCCAAGGCATAAAGGGCAAGCTCAGCCCACGTGCCCAATTTGGAGACCCAGAAGTTCAATGGGGCAGATCCATCAGGCAGTACGTGTAGGCGTGTGCACACGCACTGTTCCACCATGTTGCTGAAATGGTGCCTCCTGCTAAGACGTTCCATATCAGATGATGGTGCTGGTTGTTGTGGCATGCAGACAAAGCTTTTCCACATTTTGGCCATGCTAACCCTGCCTTCTGAGGTACTTGCAGTGCCCCAGCTTCGTTGGCGACCTCTTCCTCCTCCTCTGCCTTTGCCTTGTGCTCCCACTGAGTCCCCGGTGTCAGTTTGGAATGCCCTAGCAGCGCATCTACCAGCGTGCGCTTGTAGTCTCGCATCTTCCGATCACGCTCCAGTGAGGGAATTAAGGACAGCACGTTGTCCTTGTAAAGGGGATCCAGCAGGTTGGCCACCCAGCTATCTGCACAAGTTAGAATGTGGGCAACTCGGCAGTCGTTGCGCAGGCACTGCAGCATGTAGTCGCTCACGTGGGCCAGGCTGCCCATAGGCAAGGAAAAGCTGTCCTCTATGGGAGGTGTATCGTCTGTGTCCTCCGTATCCCCCCAGCCACGCTCCAGTGATGCCCACGAGCTGCGTTGAGTGCCACCCTGCTGTGAACGCGGTTCATCCTCATCATCCTCCTCCTCATCCTCCAGAACTGTGCCATGGCTGGACAATTGTGTACCTGGCCTATGCTGGTGCAGGAACCCACCCTCCAAGCCACTTGTGAATGACTGGCCTGATAACCGTGGAAATGACCCCTCTTCCTCCTCCTCTTCCTCCTGTGGCACATCCTCTTCCATCATCGCCCGAAGCGAGAATGGCGTCATAGGCACTGGCCATGTTGGTGGAGTACTCGAAACAGTGCAAAATGGCACACCTGTCTTGCATGGAGGCCCACTCATTGGTAGTGAAGTGGTGCTGTTTCGCAGAGCGACTGAACTGTGCGTGCTGCATCTGAAACTCCACTATCGCCTGCTGCTGTTCGCACAGACTCTCCAGCATGTGCAAGGTTGAGTTCCACCTTCTGGGCACGTCGTATATGAGGCGGTAAGCGGGAAAGACAGGCGAGCAGCAGCAGGGTGAGAATGCCGAAAGCGTGCGCAGACGGCCCGCACTTTCTGCAGCAGGTCTGATATATCTGGGTAGTCTTTCAGGAATTTCTGCACCACCAAATTCAGCACATGCGCCAGGCAAGGGATGTGCGGCAAACCAGCTAGGCCCAGAGCTGCTTTGAGATTTCGCCCATTATCGCAAACCATTATCCTGCGCGGTGTGTGGTTTTCCCCCCAAACATATGAGTTTTAAAACAGCTTGCTGTCGTTTCCCCCTGGCTGTGCTGAAGTTGGTGGTGAAGGTGTTACGCTGCCTGGATGAGGTGGTGAAGGTGTTACGCTGCCTGGATGAGGTGGTGAAGGTGTTACGCTGCCTGGATGAGGTGGTGGTAAAGGAGGAGGAAGCGGAGTAGGAGACAACAGGAGGCAAAGAGAAATGCCTCTGCAATCCTCGGTGGCGGAAGGACATGCGCCAAACTGCTATCCGCCTCAGGCTCAGCCGCCACTACATTTGCCCAGTGTGCAGTTAGGGAGATATAGCATCCCTAACCGTGCTTACTAGTCCACGTATCTGTGGTTATGTTGACCTTGCCACAGATGGAGTTTTGCAGTGCACACCTGATTTTGTCCGCCAATTGGTTGTGCAGGGAAGGGATGGCTCGTCTGGAAAAGTAGTGGCGGCTGGGAACCATGTACTGTAGGACAGCCACCGCCATCAGGTTTTTAAAACTGTCCATCTCCACCAGACGGAATGACAGCATTTCAAAAGCCAGGAATTTTGAAATGCTGGCATTCAGGGCCAGGGATCGCGGGTCGGTAGGGCCATACTTCCTCTTTCTCTCCAGTGTTTGGTAGATGGACAGCTGAACGCTTCCATGGGACAGTGTGGAGAAGCTTGGGGATGGTGGCGGACGTGGTGGCGTTGCTGCCACATCCTCTATTTGCGGGGTGGCAGGTGCCACTCTGACTCCAGAGGTGGAGGAAGAGGCCGAGACAGCAGCAGAAGAGGAAGCAGGAGGAGCCTGAGACCTTTCTTGGTTTTTGAGGTGCTTACTCCACTGCAGCTTGTGCTTTGCATGTAGATGCCTGGTCATGCAGGTTGTGCTCACGCTTAGAATGTTTGTGCCTCGCTTCAGGCTCTGATTGCACAGCGTGCAAACCACCCTTGTCTTGTCGTCAGCACATTGTCTGAAGAACTGCCACGCCAGGGAACTCCTTGGAGCTCTGGGCATTGCTATACTCATTATACTCCCCTGAGTTCTAATCACTAGCTCTTATAAGAGCTGTTCCTGCTATACTCTCTGAAGTAGGAGAGGTTCACACACTGGAAGCTGGATCCAGGATGGGTGGAGAGCGGCAAGACCCCAATCAAGCTGCAGTGGTTTGTGGGGTCCACGGTGCTAATGGTGTCTAGTGGAGTGCTTGGAGTCCTCGGTGAGTACTAGGAGCATCGATTGGTGGAGGCACCCGGTCGGGTTGGCAGGCGGTCCGTCACAAGGTCCAGTGGGGAATGCCCCTAGAATATGTTAAAGAAACCCCTTGCAGGGGAATTCAAATAAAAGGCTGTGTTTGGACCCATTAAAACCAGTTCAGCTTCACCCTCAACACAGAGCCTCATCTCGTGATTGTAGGGAACCGCTATACATGCTCCAATAACGCTTGGATTACTACTTGGGAATAGTTCAGCATTGCTTACACAAGGGGAAAAGGACATCTCTGACAGCAGAGACCCCTCGTCTCTCAGGGTGGCCACCACAGTCCTCTTTTGATCCTGGAAAAACAGCATGGCCCATAATATTTCAGTTTTGTTTTTCTTTCTCATTTTTTTTTCACTTTATAATTATTTTACATTGAATTTTCTGAGATTTGTTTAGACTCTTTGCCAACTGATGTATTATATTGCTGGAACTATGCTGTGCTATTTAGACATATGTTGAGTACCAAATAATAACATTTTTAATTACTTAGTTAACTCATTAATTGTTTAATTAATGAGTGTATTAATTGAGTGTATTATTGCACTTTTTTAATTCACTGCTTATAAAATGCTTACAATTCCTGATGTGAATTAGCTTAACAAAGTCCCATTTCTGGGTCGAAACATTGTGGTGTTCCTCTGCTTCCAAAAAAATGTGCCTGGATCTTCATTCTTCAACTGGTACCTACATTCTGTTGGGCTAGTAATGGCCCATCGTTTTCTTAGACCCCTAATTTGCTTGTGAATTGAGTACAGTTCCTGTTATCTTCTTGTGAATATTACATTACATGTATGCTTTATTTAGCCATAAATATACTTACATGATTGACTGCTCTTTCCATTTGTAAAACAAGCACATTTTCATGATTTTGAAGAAGAAAAACTGTTTTGTATTTCAAGACAAAGAAATATGGTAACATTTGAATTCTGTGTTAGAGCCCAATGATTTCAGAAAAATCACTTGTACAAACTATAATATGAGATAAAATATCAGGAATTGAGAGATTAACCCCTTTTGAGCAGTGAATGGGTATACAGGAATACTGGTGACATTTTATAGATATATCATGGTTTCCCATTCAGTCTCCACAGTAAGACATATGCATGCTGACATTTGAATTCTCTAATACCTAATACACAGTGTAGATATTATTATCCATTATCATGCCAGATCTAAGTCTCTGTGAGGTTTTCTTTTCCTTTCTCTATGTTTTAATGGTTTTTTTTAGTCCATTTATGTGTCACTTGATTTTGGATAATTAGATTTGACTTGTTTACAGTGCTGTTCTCAATAGCCTATTGACAACTAATTCAATTACTCTTCATAATAAAGTTATGACTCTAAAGTTCTCACTTGGATATATTGATCAGATGGACATATGACATGTGAGGACACACACAGGCTCTGATTATCAGTTGTGCAACATAAGATTTTGGCCACAATCCACAGAAGCATCAAGAACAGTGGCAACTGGTAGATCATAGTTTAATCCCATTGGGGCTACCAATGCATCCACCAAGGCAGTCTTCAGATCCGGAAATTGGGAACAATACTTCAGAACCTTTGCAACAAAGGACCACTCCATGCTGCTGTTTTTTTTTTCCCTAAGAAAATTAGCTATTTTGTAGATATGCCCCCAATGAGTACATGCCTGCATTCATTAGGTGTACTGCAGCCTTTGCAAGCCCTCCTCTGTTTCCACAGAAGAGACCAACATACCAACTTACTCTTCAAAGAAAATATACTTGTCAGAGAAGCCTCTAAATCTCTGACTCATGCCTGCAGGCATGAGTTGTCTGTCTGTATGGGTAACACTTACCACCTTTTCTTTCTGCTCTAAGTAATCAGATACTACTAGGGCTATGTATGCTCACAATTGTCTTATTGTGTGCTGAGGTAGTTTCAGGACATTTATAGATTAGCTTCCTTTATGGGATCTGAACTGAGGTTATTATCAGGGTCTCCCTTTCAGTTTATTTTTGCCTATTTGCCTTTTACCCACTCCCCTCATTGTATATTCGCTGTTAAATTTTGGTTTGTTGGTATATAGCACACTCTATGCAACGAGGTAAGTAATTTTACCAAATATACAAAATGTGTGATATAATTGGCGCTATAGTAAAGTGCAGCTAATCACACAGTGGAACCAATCATATATAATTCCACCAAATAAAATCAAGATAAGATAAAAACGAGTGTGCAGCGCAATTATTTAAAAATGTGATCCCACAATGCACTGTCCCTATAGTGTAATTGTGAGACAAACAGTAGAGTAAAATGACAAATACCTTGAGAGGATAATGAATGTAAGTAATCCCTGCAATATAAACAAAGGAATGCACTCATAGGGTAATATAGTAGGGACTCAAGGAAATTTCCACAATAAAATCTATAGGTGATCAACTCACATTTTAATGAGCCTTGTAAGAAATGGGCTCAGGTAATATGGCTTCAGATATCAGTGGGATCCTCATTCAGGAATATTAGGAATGGTACGTCCTCACAGTGGAGATAGATGAAATGCACCAGCTTTCAATTTAAAATCAAATTGTATTTATTACACAAAAGACAAGTTAAAAGCTTACATATAAAGTGCCCCTATCCCACAGTACATAAGTCTGAAGGAAGAGAGGTTCGGCCTGCGGTGGTTGTGGTGTCAGCTAGAGTGCTTGGAATCCTCAAGAAGCGCTAGGAGCATCCATCAACGGGGGTACTTAGTCGGGTTCTATGTGATCCGTTACAATAATTTATTTGACATTTGGAGAATCTATAACCCTAATGAAATGGACTATACGCATTTTTCTAAAGTTCACTTCTCCTAATCAAGATTAGACATGATCTGGGTAGATCCAAGACTTAATGATATGATTAAAAAAAAAAAACATCAATGAAATAGTATGGACGGATCCTAGTGGAGTGTTGTGTGAAATAGGTGTTTGTAAAGTTAATAAGGAAACATATACCTGGCACTTAAAACATAGTCTGCTCTGTTCTGAAATAAATAACATTTACATAGAAAATATAAAAAAATTACTTTAAAGAAAATATTTCAGAAAATATTGATCCAACCACTTTGTGGTGTGCCTTTAAGGCTGTAATAAGGGGTCATTTTATTAAGCTACAAAGTCAAGTTGACAAAAACACCACTTTATCTTACTTACACACTCAATTAAGAAATTTGATTCAAATTAATAAAACAATCTCCGTCCCCTGATAACTACAAGAAAATATCAGTAGTGAAAGAAAACATAAAGCAATGGAAAGAACTGTTAAAAGCTATTCTAAAGGCAATAGAGCTGATAAAATGCTATCCCAAAAACTCAGAAAACAAAAAGGACAGAATAGAGTGGAGAAACTAATAAATAATGGAAAAATAGCAACAACTCCTAAAGAAATAGGACAATATTTGAATGAGTTTTATAGCAATTTATATAACATACCTCAAACCTCTGCAGATGAAAATGCTGAAAGATATCTAGAAAGTATAAATAAGTTTCAACTAACAGTACCAGAGAATGAACTATTAAATAATACTATTGAATATAGCTTGGTGCTACTTCCAAGTGCAGTTTCTAAGTGTGTAGTTGGAGATATTCTGGAGAGTTTTACAGAAGCTTCAACTGTCTAAGAGTTGTGCTAAGAGCTTTCTTTTCTACTGTTACAGGTAAGATTCATCTGTAGGAAAAGGTTACTGATTGCCCAAGGTTTGAATTCCTGTTGGTAAGATTCATCTGTAAGAAAAGGTTACTGATTGCCCAAGGTTTGAATTCCTGTTGGTAAGATTCATCTGTAGGAAAAGGTTACTGATTGCCCAAGGTTTGAATTCCTGTTGGTAATTATAAGGCATTTGATTTGATTAAGCTAGTTACTTGCTGTTGATTGCTGGTTAATTAGCTATTGTTTGCAAATAAGCAGAGGCCTACCCAGGTGTTAAACATTCCTAGTGGGCGGTGATTTAAGGAGTTATATAAGGCTTGGTCTCATTAGCTTGTCTAATATAGCTTGGTGCTACTTCCAAGTGCAGTTTCTAAGTGTGTAGTTGGAGATATTCTGGAGAGTGCAGTTTCTAAGTGTGTAGTTGGAGATATTCTGGAGAGTGCTGTTTCTAAGTGTGTAGTTGGAGATATTCTGGAGAGTGCAGTTTCTAAGTGTGTAGTTGGAGATATTCTGGAGAGTGCAGTTTCTAAGTGTGTAGTTGGAGATATTCTGGAGAGTGCTGTTTCTAAGTGTGTAGTTGGAGATATTCTGGAGATAACCTGGAGGTAATCTGAGGTATTCAGGAGGATAAAGAAAAAAGTTAAGATTTTTTGTTTTAAATTATTCTCATAATTGGAATGGCAGGCTTAGTTCAGTGTAACAATTGCTATGCATTTGTTTCACGTTCCACTTTTTGGAGGTTTGGTTGTTGTCTAATCTGTAGACAGTTCTCTATCTTGCGGCAGGAGATTGTATTTTTGAAGTCTGAGATTTGTAAATTATCTGGTGAACAAACTCAGACTGGAACTGCTGCAAAGCCACTGCCGCAGAGACATGCTAGGAAAGGCAGATGGATTACTGTAGGATCTGGTAGACTTAGAGTTGTGGATAAAAGGCATTTTGCACAGTCTGTTGCTCTTCATAATTCATTTTCTGCACTTTCAGAGTGTAATGGTGTTGTGGAGAGAGGCACTGAGGCTAGTGGTGTTGTGGAGAGAGGCACTGAGGCTAGTGGTGTTGTGGAGAGAGGCACTGAGGCTAGTGGTGTTG